TGTGTCAGCAGCTGGGCTGTGGCTCTGCCCTGGATGCCCTGCAGAGGCCGGCATTTGGCCTGGGAAATGGGAGCATCTGGCTGGATGAGGTGAATGAAGTGCAGGGGCAGGGAGTCCTCCCTGTGGGATTGTGCTGCCAATCCCTGGGGACAGAGCGACTGCAAGCAGGAAACAATGCTGGAATGAGGCGCTCTGGTTGAGTAGAAGGACCAGGGTATTGGGTGAGGATCCAAGGACATGTGAGTTTGTATCCAGAAGTACTTCCTGAGCTAACTTTGTATTGTGCCCTGGCTCAGTACAAATACAGGAGAGGCTCTTGCCTGACCTGGGATCTGGGAGAGAACAATAGGACTCGGATGTAGGTGTAGCCTATGGCTTTTCCGGGCCAAGTCAATACAGTGATCCCATTCTTCTTCTCTTCTCTCCAGGTGTGAGGACAACCATTCTCCCCCATTCATGGAAGTAAGTGGTTCTTCTGTCCTGAACTATGTCAAAGAGGAGACACCCATATTTTTAGGGACCTGCACCATGGAATCTACATATTTCTGGGAAAATTGACCATTTCAGTATAGGAAAGGCCTAATGATAAGGTGTTCATAGTCCTATTAAGTTGTGACAGCTGCAATGCTCCAAAGATTTACTGGCTTTAATTTTATAAAATTCCCTTAGAACCAGATTCAGAAGAGAGTTGACACAGCTCAGGGCAGGACCTAGGTCGATCACATCTTGGGATTCAGACAAATCCACTGTATCTGAATGGTGATTTCATGGTCTTGAGGACTCAGGAGGTGACTGGGATAAGGGGGATTCTCCTGGGCTTATGGCCTTCTCTAAACTCTCATGGCCCTCTTTTCTCCTCAGACAACAATTCAGGCTCAGCTCCTTTCCCTGGCATTTTTTCCCTACCTGGGATCCTTTATACCAACCTAGGGGACCTTCTTTCCCCAGTCCTCATCATCCCAGTGATTCAGCTCTGCAGATGGTGAGCAGAGCACTGAGGCAGGCCTTAAGGATGCTAAATGATCTGGAAAGTAGTGGGAAGACTATGAAGCCAGGTGGGATATCAAGAAAAGTGCACAAGTATTGGTCTCCATCCTCATTATCTAGCAGAACTCCACCTTCCCTACAATGAAGTTCAAGATTTGAAAGAATTCAATCCTTGGTCCTGGGTTGAATGTAAAATCTCTCAAAAATTATGACTTCTTATGTGAACATGTTAGGGGAAACTGAAAACTTATAGTAGCCAGATTTCTATTTGGGTTTTGTTGACATCATGCATCAGAAGTAAAATATAATAATCTTGGTGGGCATACTTTATTCCATCATTGAATTCATCATTTTCCTATGGCAAATGGCCGTGTATATTGCACCAGGAGAATCCTTGAGCACCTTCCAATCCCCATGTCCTGCCAAAAATTATGAAGATTGCAAAAGTGAGTGTAGGTTGGACCGCCGCCCCCCAACAACATCCAGAGCCATCAATTAAGTATAATAGGTTGGGCTTGGTAAGAATGAGGGTATGAGTATGGACCAAGTTTAGAGTCCCCTGTCTAAGAAAGAGAGACCTGGAACATTTGAGAGCCTGGGCAAAGTAATGCCTTGAGTAGCCTATAGAGGAAGTGAGAAAACAGGTCAGTTTATTCACCTTGTATTTCCTTTGGGAGAAACTGAATCAACATGAAACTTGCTAAATTATCATCAAAGCAAAAAGAACTTTATTCAGAATATTTCATTTTAAGTAATTTCCATATAATACCATTATAGGTCAGCACTACTCTATTGAAATACAGGCAATTAGAATATCTGAGGCCTTATCTCATTTTTAATGCAACATCAGGTGAAAACCATGGTAGATGTTCAAGGGGCATTTAGTTCAATGTCATCATACCCCGGGTCACCTTCTTCCCCCTGGAGCAGCCAGGGACTATCTTCTTTCCCAGGACCAGCTACCTCTTCAGAGAACTGCAGAGAAGAGCCTGAAACAGTAAAGAGAAGTTTGACTGGAACTGTGACAAAGTGATAGGACAGTGCCCCACGGTGGAAGCAAGTTAAGTAAGTAGTGATGACAAAGCATCCCTGGAGACCCAGTAATGCTCAAGGAAGCTCAGACAATTTAATATTAGTTATAGCAAAAATATATCAAGGTTATCCTATCAGAATCCAGTCCATATGGGTTTCTGGGGCCTCAGCTTATCTGGGAAATGCTGTTATCACAGATCTATGGCCAACACAGGGGCTCTCTGAAGACATGTTTCTCAGCAAATGGATGGCCCAAGAATGGTGAAAATCATAAGAAGGGACATGAAAATTTCTCCTCTCACAATGTACAGGTCTGAATTCAGAAGGAAAAGGACAGGAGACCTAGGAGAAATCTCAGGTCCTCACTGGATGTTCAACTCTGCTCTTGTGTCCCCAGATGCCCATAGAAACAATCACAGGATCCTTCCTTCCATAAATGCCACCTCTCCAGGAATCACATGGGCCTTCAGATGGAAAAATACTCTTCTCTGGAGAATGAATGTCTTCATTTGACCATTGAAATGTCTGGAGCAGATTGGCTCCAGTTATCCACAGACAACTGCCCACAAATCCAGTCTCTATACTCCATCACCATGGCTTTAATATTCAAGGCCACCATATATCATAGACTTTGTACATGTTAGGGCTAACATATGATTACAGAGCATCTCAAATGATCAAAATGCCTCACAAATTCCAGTATTCCAATATTTCTTACATCTCTAAATGCCTTTCACATATGAGACAGTGCAACAATGTTATTAGAACAGTTGCTCTATTTTTGGATTTGGTAAATTAATCTATAAGTCTTAATGCAAGCACATGAAAGTCAAAGTTATGGAGACTCGGATACCAAGAACACAGAGTGATTCCTCCCTCCCCAAGGAATGTGCCAGCACTAAAGAAAGGAAGATGGTTGAAGGATACGAAGTCATCCAAATTTTGAATCTATAGGAAGGGCGGGCAATGAGGATCTCAAATTCACCCTTTCCAGGACAGAGACAAAAGATTACAGGAGATCGGCTAACCCCACTCACCTGTCTGAGAGGCCATCATCCCATTCTCCTCGGGGGGCACGTCCCCCTCGCTCATCCAAGAAGCAGGAAGAGCCTCAGGCACCGGTACCTCTTCAGCATTATCATAATCCTCAGCAGGAGTGTCAGTCTCCTGAGCTGGGGTTTTAAGAGCAGACAAGGGGGTCAGATGAAACCACAGTAAATGGGTTGGCCTAGGAAATATCTGAAATCCTTCTGCTGCAGAGATTCTGAAGGCTGCTAAAGTAGAGGCACTAACTACCCACTCCCTGTTTTAACGGGTCTCATCCAAGGTCATATATTTCACTCTGATGTGTCCGTAAGCCAGAAAAATGATCCAAACACCTCAATATTCCCTTATTAAAACTACATATTTCAGAGAAACTCTTACACCAATGGATTACTAAATATTTTGTCAGTTACACTTTCCAGACGATATTTTTCAAAACACTGTGTGTGAGTTGTGACTGAATGAGGATGGTGTTGAACACAGAGAGCCCGGCCTCAACGTGAGGCATGTTCAGAGCAACCAGAGAAGGAGGAGAGAAGAGACTTCTCTAATCCTAGTCAAAGGAAGACGGTCCCTCTTGGATCTCATCTCTAGGAGGGAGAGCCCCCTGCCCCTAATATCCAGCCAAGGCAGATCCACCCGTACTACCTGGAGCAGATTTAAAGTCACTGTCCTCCTCACCATCCCCAGTGTAATATGACAGGGTAGTCACTGAGTCCTCTGACAGGGACGCTAATGTGGAGACAAACATCACAAAACAAGCAGAACGTGCCTTCTCACGCCCGTGGGACCTGTGGTAAGGCTGAAAAGAAATGCTGGAGCGGGCGAGGCTCCCGTAGAATAAAGAGAAGGCTCAGCGTTCACAGAGGCTCAGGAGGGGCCCATCCTGCAGCCTTTGGAGGGGCTGCTTCTGTGAGCCTGGGGCACATATGGGGTCTGGCACGTTCTGAGAAGACGTGCCTCGCAGACAGCAGGGACCAGAAGTCCCAGGAAAGCAAAGTAGGGATACACACCAGTGCCGCCCAGCAGATCTTCCTTCATTGTCACAAGATGATCGATCTCCTCGTACACAGCCTCACTGAGAGCATCTTCGAAACTGGATAAGGCTGAGCAAACCACCAGCAAGTGAGAGATCGCCACCTGAGTTCATCCCTGAACCAACAGGCTAATCGTTCTTCCCAGGGCTCACAGGCGGAGAAGCCCTCGGGGCTGCCAGGATGCCTTCATAGTCTCCAACCCCATGCACCATATCTGCACCTTCTCCCTTGCCTACCCTGTGTCCACAGCTCAGCTCCTATCCCTTCCTGTCCCACATAGAAGCCATGACTTACGAGGGTTCACACCCCAACCCTCAAAGCCTCTATAGATTCAGCCTTTACAGTTCAACGTAGAGCAGCTGGAGTTTTTCAAACACGGTTTCCCGCCCCCCCTCTCACGCCTGGCCCGATCTCCTGCTTCCACACACTTTCCATGTTACCCAGTACCCCCTGTAGCCCACCTCTGATCGCTGCTCTCCATCTGTACAGCTGAGTTACCAGGATCATGAGGACCAGGAAGAGAAGAGCCCCCAGGATGAAGCAGAGCATCTCAGACAGGGAGAAGATGCCACGGACAGGATTTGGGCCTGGTCTGGTCCCTAAAGAGAATAAAACCAATAGAATTTGGAGAAGGGCAGGGGCCTTGGGAAACTCCTTTAGCATTTCCAGAGGTACCCAGGATGAGGAAGTCCCAGACTCAGGCATAACAGGACTGACCACGACCTTGGTGGGCACTCCAAGCCTTGTCCTGAGATAAATTCAACTCTACTCCAGTGAGGTCCAAGGGAGCGCTAGGATTATCAGAGAGCTTCCCTGCTGCAACAGCCTCTGAGCACCAAGCCACACAAATGCAGCTCCCTTTCTTTGGGCTTCACCAGACCAGAGCATCAAACAGCTCCTGGAATAGGCGTCTTGCCTCTGAGCAGTGACACTCAACAGACAAATGGGAAATCCTGAGATCCTGCGGCACGGGAACCAGCCTACCTTGGCCCCAGGGCAAGAGAAACTTCTGGTGCAATGGGCCAACGAAGGGAAAGCTTCCCCAAGGAAAATGCCCTAAGACTTCCCCACCAGCCAATGGCTCCTCAGTATCTTTCTCTTTCTGAGTTGGCTAATCCTGTCAGATTCCACAGAACAAGTCCCCAGAATCTGAATACTGCGGCACTGTACCTGCTATAGTAGACAGCAATGCTTTTCTTTCACCTAGAGGGAAAAACAGGACAGGAATTGGCCAGAGTGCAGGGCCGTCCATTTTCCCCACCTTAGTCCCTGAAATCACCCCTCGATTACCACAACATCAATGTGGAGTCCTCCCCCGCCCCTCCATCTGGGACTCACAGCACCTCGATGCTTTCAGAAGGCAAACTTCCGAGGACAACCCTGGCCCACCCCGTTGGCCCACCCCTGCCCCAGCTCAACCAGAACCGCTCACCAGAGCACCTCACTCCAGCATCCTCCTCGTGCTTGCAGTCGCTCTGTCCCCAGGGATTGGCAGCACAATCCCACAGGGAGGACTCCCTGCCCCTGCACTTCACCTCATCCAGCCAGATGCTCCCATTTCCCGGGCCAAATGCCGCCCTCTGCAGGGCATCCAGGGCAGAGCCACAGCCCAGCTGCTGACACA